GTATAATCCAAAAGAATCAATCTAGGAAAGTGAGTATAGCGACCAAAAAGCATTATGTGATGAGGATGTCAGTCTGAAGAAATCAGTCATGGGGTAATGAAGACAACAAACACAAGCAGATAAACATACCGATCAATATTTCTAGCTAGATGGCACACATCGCCCACGGTGTCTGTCAGCTTCAGCAAAGATTGATGGTCATAAGATCATTCTGACATTCGTGGTCGTTTGTCTGATTGCCAATTCTGGTTTACTGCCCTGTTTTAAAAGACTTTTGAGGCATGCAGTTGCTGTTTGAAAGCTGCCAAGCTGGGTTCAATCAGACCACAATGTCAGATTAGTTCTCCTTGTATGATAAAAAGACCACCAAGAAATAAAACACTGACCATGTATTAATGAACCCAACTTTAAACCAGGGGTCCTACAAGCGCCATTTGGATCATATGATGAATCTCAGTGAATGCCTTGTACAATCAAAAAACCCTCTATCGGTGTTATGGATGTTTTGGTTGGGATTGGTACAAGGGTAATCACCAATTGGGGATGATTGGTATTGGTGGTGGTGGTGGTTGGCCAGAGCCTACAGCTAACACAGGAAAGCTTGTGGGCTCCGAAGCCAGAAATAAAAAGTAAAAAATAAAAATCTACTGACAACAGCTGGAAGGTTTAGAAGAATACAGGTACATGCATGTATGGATCACCTCCAATCAAATCGGCTATCTTTTTTGTCACTCACTTTCAGGTGATGAGAGTAGCACCATCAGAATCCTGATGAAAAGTTCAGTCCAATGACCCACCATCCTGAGGCCCTGCTGTGGCAGAGCTTCCCCCCACAGGGGCCGGTTGGGTCCAATCGGTGCCACTGGCCTGGCTGTACGTCCAAAGAATCAGAAGCTTTGGAAGATGTACAGGACCCTGCATGAGGTCGTAATTTTTTTGGGTCGTAATGTTCAAGCTCGCGAACCCGCAAGCTTTCCTGTGTTAGCTGTATGTAGGATGATTTTGTCTGCTTGATCACAGCAAGGCAATGAAACTAGAGCTGTTTGGCAAAAACCAGCAGCTTAAACTGCTGAACAGCAGCAGAATACCATAACTTTAGGGCTTGGAAAACTTCGGTTTGTCCAAGCTTTATTCAAACGACAATACATAGTCCAAAGCCAGCTACATAAAGGTTTGATCTTGAACAGAAAAATCAGAAACACTCTCCATTCTTCTCAATTGATATGTTGTGTGGAAGAATAGGATATATGTATCATGTTTATCATGAGAAATGCTTATTCAATTCCCTTTTGATTTTGTTTTGGTACATAAGTTGATGTATATCAACATTGATTCTTTGCTCATGCACAAATATCTTCTTCAGTATATCCTTGCCATATTTGATGGTAATGTATTCAAAAAAAAGCATTTCAGCAAATTTTCTACATACAAATTCAAGCTGAACATAATGTCCAAAAAGGACAATTATTGATGTCATAAATCTTGGAATGTTTCTCAAAATTTTAGCCTTTGAATGATTTCACGTGTTCAGGATGCTGTTGAGGATGCTGTTTAAGATAATAAATGTTGAACTCATTGATTATTGACAAATGTATTAATTTATCCATAACTCCATGGCATCCATTGCTTTCCACCTACACCTGATCCTGCCTGGAGTTCTGTCCACAACCACTTCGAACTTTTTAAAAATTTACCCCCTCCCCCCAAAAATTCACAACCCATTCCTCGTCGACAGAACTTCACTCACCCCTCCATCCAATGCCGTCAGGCGATCCCCCCCCCCCCTCCCCCCTCCTGATCCCCACACAGGCACCCTATCGATCCGCGCGTTGACGGACTCGATTCACAACCGACAGGACGCGTCAGTGGACGTGAACATGGATATCACCCCGGAAGACAGGCCTGCCCCCGCAACCAGCCGGCAACAGCAAACAGCTCCGCCGCCGGAGGAATTCCCGTTACTGAATTTCTACAAGGCGCTTCGAGCTGACCCCACCAGGCGAAGCGACACCGGCGCTCTGACCCTAGACGCGACAACGGAGTCGCTACTTCTCCAGCTGATCGAAAGTGAGGCGAGACGCAGTCATGACCTCAAGCTATTCACTGAGGAACTACGCGACGTTCGGTCGCGTGTCACCACCATCGAAGCAGGCCAGTTGACACGCAAACCTCCGGTCCCCAGCAAATCCTATGCCTCAACAGCCGCAAAACCGAGAGCCCCGCCCCAGCCTCCGTCTAAATCAGAAATGGTAGCAGCCCGACCTGGTATGACTGTCATCCACTCGAGAGCTGGCACCGCTCCCCTGAAGGAAGTAGACGCAGAGATCGTGGTCAGGAAGACGAACGAAGTCTTGGAAAAGATGAACGCCTCCGTTCAAGGGGAAAAAGTCTTAATCAAGGCCGTCCGATTCTTACCATCAGGTGATGTGTCTTTCTACTCAAAAAATCGACAACAAAAAGAATGGCTGAATCGAAATAAGCACAAGTGGAGTAAACAGGTTCACCCGGACCTCGAGGCTACCCCCAGCACATACTCAGTCTTGGCCCACGGTATCCCTCGCACCTTCAATGTGGACGCGGTGACAAGCAAGATCACCATCGCCGCTGATAATCAGTTCATCTCCGAGAAAATATTCAGGATGCGCTGGCTAGGAGGCTCAAGAGACCCCAACGACCCCCGCCAGGCCGGTACAGTGGTTATAGCCTTTACCGATTCTAGTTTAGCTGACCAACTTGTTAGACAACGTGGCCTCTTCCTCAATGGCAGTTACCACAGAGTCGAGCGGTTCAAAAAACTCCCCCCGCAGTGCTTCAAGTGCCTGCAAATGGGCCATTTTGGAAAATGGTGCCAAGGCGACCCGAAGTGTGGAAAATGTGGTGGTAAACACGAAACCAGGGAGTGTACCGACACGACACCGTCTGAGGGGAAACAGTGTGTGATCTGTAGGGACAGCGGTACAGATAAGGAGACTTGGTCGTCGCACACGCCTTTTGACAAGGCTTGTGGGGTCAAACGGGCTTGGCTCATCTCCAAAAATCATATACATCATGAATAATTTAGGCCCTGTACTAACCCCCAATGTTTCTAATGATCTAGTTGTAGATAGCTCCCCTGTTGTTTCTAGCAATGAAGACCTTTCGCCCTCCATTATTGCGCAGTTGAACTGCCACAATAGTTGAGCGACCACGTATAGTATCCTAAATTCCGAGCTGGACTCAGTCTTCCTTTTAGTTTTACAAGAACCTTGGATAAATCCGCTGACTCTTCTCCCTCCTGACCATGAGGCCTGGTGGACATGTTATAGCCCAGAACATCGACCAAAGGACCTCAAGGACAAGCATAGGGTGGTATCGTATGTTCGCAAATCGATTGCCTCCCGGGCCGTCAGGACCCTAACAAGCAACAGTAAGTTTTTCATTGCTCTGGAACTGACACTACTGACAGGGACCCGCTTGCGGGTCCTAAACATCTACAACCCCCCAGGCACAACCGCGGGAATCGACGATTTGGGAGCCTGGCTCAACGTGAATAACGACCGCCGGGTTGCTACCATCATTGGGATGGATTCAAACTTCCACCACCACTCCTGGAATCCACCGGGCTACTCCCATGTCCACAAAGCTGCTAAGTCCCTGGTCTCCTTATGTGGAAAAAAAGGCTTCCAGCTAGCTTCTGAAAAAGACTCCCCCACTTTTGTATCTAGCCGGGGCTCCCGGACGACCATCGATCTCACTTGGGCCAATTTCCTTGCGGCCAAACTGATCCAGAAAACCACCACATCATCGGACAACCATGGATCTGACCACCAGAAGCTCTCCACCGAACTGAGGTTCTCTCCACCTACGCCGGTCTACCGCACAATAGGCCCAAGACCAGGAGACATTGACCAGGATGCCCTCCGTAGCAAAGTCTTGAGGGAACTGAATCAGCTAAGTAGAGAGGCACCCTCCATGGATATAGACACACTAGAAGACAGGCTCACATCCAGTGTTTTCAACGCGTGGCAGGCCCAGGGAAGGCGTACACGCGTAAATCATGGAAAGGTGAAGAAATGGTGGGACAAGGACATTCTGGACCCCCTAGTGAAGATCAGAAACAAGTGCCGGCGCCTCCTTATAATGGCCCCCACTCAATCGAACTTGGAACGTTTCACCTATTGGAACGGCAGGTTTCGGGAGGAGGTAAACCGGCTCAAACAAAAACACTGGCAAGGCTTCTTGGCCTCAACTGACTCCACCACAGTTTTTCAAGCTCTGCGATTCACCAAGCCCAGCAGCGGTGGGAGTATCCTCCCGCTAAGGGGCCCAGACGGCGCCATCTCCTCGAATAAAGAAGACCAGGCTAAGCTTTTGTTTAACGGCACGTCAGTGGTCAACAGCACCTGTGACCTTTCGGATATCCCTCCAGAGGAAAACTCGGCCTTTGTGGTATATCCTCCCATCACCCGCCAGGAGGTGTTGGGGGTACTTGCCCGGCTGGCAAAGAAAAAGGCAACCGGCCCGGACCGGATACCCAATGAAGTCCTAACAATTTGTGCAAAGGAATTAGCTGACACTCTTGTACTGCTGTTCAACAGATGTATTCAGGAGATCCATTTCCCGGTGGCCTGGCGCACCGCCACCACAACTATCATTAGGAAATTTGGCAAACCAGATTACACTCTCCCAGGGGCGTACCGTCCAATAGCCCTCCTTAGCACAGTAGGCAAAGTTTTTGAATCAATCTTAGCTGACCGACTGACTTTCTGGGCAGAATCAAAAAAAGTCCTACCTGACGGCCACTCCGGGGGCCGGCGGGGAAAGGGAAGCGAAGATGCAATGATTGCCCTCTCTATGTGGGTCAAGCGAAAGTGGAGGGAGGGCAAGACCGTCACCGCCCTGTTCCTCGATGTTAAATCGGCCTACCCATCCGTCTACCCCCGCCGGCTGGTCCACCTACTTCGCCAGAAAGGATGCCCCGCCTACCTTTGGAAAATAATAGGCAGCTTCTTGGAAAACAGGACAACACGACTACGGCTAGCCGATTATGAATCAGCTAAGTTCAACATTGATAAAGGACTCCCCCAGGGCTCCCCGCTCTCAGTTATTTTGTACATACTATACAACTCTGATCTGTTGCTCGACCAATTTGACTTCCAATCAGACAAGGTTTCCTTAGGTTTTATTGACGACGTGGTCCACCTCACCGCGGCTAGGAAGGTTGAGGACGCAAGGCTTCTACTGAGCGCTTTAGGGGAGAAGTCGTTAAAATGGGGCAGCAGCCACGGCGCAATCTTTGACAGTAGGAAGGCACAATTTGTCATTTTTACACATTCTAAATTAGCTAAGTCCCCGTTTGTTTTTGACGGCCAAGAACTGGCACCGCAGAAGGAAGTAAAGTGGCTGGGTGTGTGGTTTGACGAAAAGCTGACTTTCAACAAACAGCACTCCCAGGTGAAGAAGAAGGCTGATGATACAATCAGCCAGCTCTTGAAAATTGGCAGCTCAACGTGGGGAATACGAGAACAAGAACGTGGTCTTCTCATCTCGTCGGTCCTTGTACCCAGGATCCTCTATGGGGCGCAGGTTTGGTTCACCACGCTAAATGAGAAGAAAGTCTCCGCTATGCTGGATCTGATAGAACACTCGGCAGCACGATTCTCCTTGGGTGCCCTGAAGTCCACTCCGATCAAGTATCTCGACAGATATAGACCCTTCAGATGCATTAAAAAGACAGCAGCAAGCCACATCACTAACTATTTTCTGACCAAACTCACCAGGATCACCCACAAGGCTTCACCAATCGAGCGGCAAATTCGCACAGAATTTTTGTGGACAGCCAGAGCTTTTCCCAGTCCGGTGCATGCTGCAATCTGTCATGAATCTTTAGCCAGTTTGGCTACAAAACCTCTTGAAGAGATTAATTTCATCCGCGAAGACCATCCTCCCTGGCGGGCCCGGCGACAAATGGACCTAGTCATTGACAGCTTACCAAAGCAGGAGGCAAAAACCTTGGTGGAATTATTTCTTGAGTCCCTGGACTTTACCAAAAATCTAGTCATCTTCACTGACGGATCCGCCCACCCGGAGGAGGGCCTGGGTGCGGCAGCGGTCACAATCAATGGGGAAACCTCCAAACTTACTTTTCTAGGACCTACGGAGACGGCCTCCAACTTTGAATGCGAGCTGGTGGGCATTCGCCTAGGCCTGGAAATTGGAAGGGATTCTCCTTCTCTGGAGGATAAAACCTGCATCATCATCATGACAGATAGTCAGGCAGCAATTGAACGACTGAAAAGCCCGGGGATCCCCAAGTCGGGTCAGTACCTTCTCTCTCAAATTCAGTCAGTGGCGGAAGCCATACCGTCCTCTACCAAGATCATGATCCGGTGGTGCCCAGGCCACGTCGGGGTCAGGGGCAATGAACTAGCGGACAGCAAAGCATCAGAGGCAAGGAAACCAGAATTGCTTGACACTACAATAAGGGGTAGTATCGCGGCCAAGAAATCCAAGCTGCTAACCCGACAAAGATTATGGAAAAACTCCCCCCGGTCAGCTTTCCCCACTCAATCAGCCCTTCACCAGCTTCGATCGGGACATGTGCATTTGAACGCTTTCCAGTTCAAATGCAGAAGAGTCCCCTACCCGATCTGCATGACATGTGGAGTCCCCGAAACGGTTGATCACTATCTTTTATCCTGTTCCAGGTTCATCGAAGCCAGGGCAAAAGCCCGGGCAATCCTCAAGACCGAGAAGATCAACATCATCACATCCAGGACCCTCCTTCACAATAAACTTGCTTTCAAGGCAACCGAGACATTTTTGGAGCTCTCGGCCAGACTCCCCCATTCCGGAAGACGGACGACCCGGAGCCACCCACTAAGACCCTACCTTTTTCTTTGTCCCTGCCCACTGCTTTGTCAATCTCTTGTCTCCCCTTTCCTCGTTTTTTTTTTTTTTTTTTTTTCTCTAATCTCTCCCTTTCTTTCCACCACACTTGCACCTGACCACAGTCGTAAAACCACAATCCTCCCTTCTTCTTCACTGATAAAGCTTAGAGACACAATCTCTCTGCTACAGTTGTACACTACCTTGAATATGCATAGTGCGCAATGTCAAATCAAATCTGCACTCTCAAAAAAAAAAAAAAAAAAAAAAAAAGAAAAGAAAAAGAAAGATCCTGCCTGATCTCAGAAGCAGAGACAGATGTTTTGATTTACCGAGTTTTTGTCTGGTTTTCTGTGCTAAACTTGACACCCGGTCGGTTCCGGAGGCCGGTGTCAGCGAAAGGTGGCGGCGAGGTCGCCGGACTCGGGGGGCGGGCCCTGGGTGAGCGCTTTATAACCTGCCCCCGGGCTTCATGTCAGACCCCGCAGAATCGCGCGTTCCTATTGGTCAGGATGTGTCCCCTCGACTAAAGTTTTCTAAACTTACCAGGCGCGTTTGAGATTCGCGTCATGTGTCGGCTGACTTCACCACACAGCCACTTCCGCCACTCGCATGACTGCGATAAGCTCCACAGTGGCACACCCTCAAGCAGGGTAGGCGAAGACTATATAAACAGGCAACCCTTTCCGCTCTGTTGTTGTCTCACCGGATCAACCTATCCATCAAGAACTCAACCATTCCCATATCCAATCTACCACAACCAGTCACACATCATCAAAAATGGCCCGTACCAAACAGACTGCCCGGAAATCAACTGGTGGCAAAGCCCCTCGAAAGCAGCTTGCAGCCAAGGCCGCTCGCAAATCAGCTCCTCCAGCCGGAGGAGTCAAGAAACCTCACCGATACCGGTAAGTTGACCCCCCCTCCCCCCTCATCTCATTCTTGTGTCAACATGGCCACTAAGAACTGTCTGTGTCTCTTTCTTCCTTTTTACTTACAGTCCTGGAACTGTCGCTCTGCGAGAAATCCGTCGGTACCAGAAATCCACGGAACTCTTGATCCGCAAACTGCCCTTCCAACGCCTCGTCCGCGAGATCGCACAAGACTTCAAGACCGATCTGCGGTTCCAATCTTCGGCCGTCATGGCTCTGCAAGAGTCAGCCGAGGCCTATCTGGTCGGGTACGTCTTCTCTCTTCCGGTCTTCCAATCCAGGCTTTCCCCGATCATCGGTTCTCATCTTCCTTGTGATACATATTCTTCTTTGTGTAGATTGTTCGAGGACACCAATCTGGCTGCCATCCATGCTAAACGTGTCACCATTCAACCCAAGGATATCCAGCTGGCCCGTCGACTGAGAGGCGAACGATCTTAAATCAACTCCCGCTTTCCTCCCATCAATCAATCAATCCCTTTTCTTTTCGTCTTGTTTTGTTTCTGTCCGGCCTTCTATCTCTCTGTCTCGCAACTGTTGTAGTCTTTCAGTTTTTCTTATAATATATACCATATTCAATGAATGTCGTCTGATTCAAAAACCCTTTCAACTCAACCTCGCTCTTTGTGAGCTATTACCTCATGTTGGGCCACACCGTATTGCTGCAGACTCTTGAGTTTAACATTCTACATACAATTTGAGTACCAGGTAGGTCTTTCATATATGTATCTGAGGAACTTTGAGCCCCCTATGTACCATTCTACTTTGGTCGCATTTTTGACCATGGCCCGGAGTGTCTCCATTCTGCCTGAACCTCACACATTTCCTTATGATCGAACGGATATGTAATGAATTCTATCCATATCGGATACCTGGGCTATGTAGCTCCGGATCAATATCCGTCTGTATGTACATATGCATTTATTCATCCCGCCCCTTCTCTGACGTCCCCCCGATCATCGACCTTCCTTTGGAGGCCATTTTCGAATTGCCCTGCAAAAATAAAAAAACCACGCCAACTTCAGAAAAGGGGAAATCCAACCCCATTTGATCTCGGCCAGGACCAAGTACAACATCCACAGATCCATCGCACAGTCACGCAAGCATGGCCGAAACCACTCCGACATCAAACTCCGGGCTCTTGGAACTAATGCACATCATCGAAAGATTGAAGACCACTAAACGCGCCGGATGGGTCAGATTGGGCGCTCAAGCTCCCGAAAGGTCCGCCCCAACCAAACCCTCTTCTCCCTTATTTCACTTGTCTTTTGATGACCACATACTCGTTCATATACTGACGCCCGCGATCTTTGGGGAATTTGGTTTGATAAGTATCTCTGATCATATGTATAGGATGGCCATGTTGGCGATGCTTTCTGAAAAAGACGCGGACCTCGATATCTCAAAGTACCTCCTTGGTCGCTGGCCCTCCCCCATAATTTTTTTTTCTCTTTTTTACACGATCGATTGATTGATGAGTGGGTTTTTGTTGAAAAAAAAAAAAAAAAAAAAAAAAACAGATGTGTGATGTTAGCTTTGGTACATGATTTCGCGGAAGCTGAAGTAGGCGGTAAGTGCTCAAGGATCTCCAAGACCCTATTGAAAAACTAAGACAAGTAACAGATATGAACCCAGAAAAAGCTGATATGAATATGTCTTATATAAACAGATATCACGCCGCATGACGGAATTTCACGCGAAGAGAAACACAGAAGGGAGTCCTCAGCGATCGAGAAATTTACCACGGAGCTCTTACCGCCTCAATCGATCCCCAGTCAACGTCTTAAATCGCTGTGGTTGGAGTACGAGGAAGGGCAGACTCGGGAAGCCAAATTCGTCAAAGATCTCGTGGGTCTTCCTGACCATCCTCCCTTCATCTTCCTTCCGTGATCATCATCTGAACATCTCCGCTACTTTTCTCATCATCAGGATCGATTCGAACTTGCTTTACAAGGTGTTGAATACGAGAAGAGTCAGTTTGAATCTTGCTCTTGTTGACCGACAGAACAATATCCGAGCTTGAAAAAAACCCCCCCCCCCGCATCATCACAGATCCCAAATCTTCTAAGCTGATTTGTTTGGGTTTGATATGTAGGAGACAAACTCGCCTCGATCCAGTCGTTTTCGAGACCACAATACCCTTGATCAAGCATCTTGAAGTGCGAGCCTGGGCGAATGAGTTGTAAGCACTCTCCGACCATACATACACTCTAATCCAAACAAAAACAGTTTGATTGATCTGATCGATGGCGTTGGCGATCAGGATGGATGAGCGAGCATCGATCCAAGGCTCCGAGCCGTTCGTCAAGGATTACAAAGACGTCCGTCCGTTGCCGTAAAATCCCACCAGCGCCCCCCAACGCTTGAGTCGCCTATCGATAGGATCCTAGTCCCTGCAGTCCCGACTGGTGTGACCACCATATACCCACTCCCATCTGATTACCAACATAAAAAGCCCACATATCTTCTATTTTTCCAGTTTTTCATATCGTTCTAGGTTTTTTTTCGGGGGGGGGGGGAGCTAAGGTAGACTCGGTATTTCTTCTAGCTCACCCACTTTTGCTCCTTTATGTATATCCCCTTACCCCCGTTCCACTCCACCCCTCCTGTCCACCAACCCCAATGCTCTGATTTTGTTTCTTGATACGTGTTTAGGTGATTAAAGATATATGCTCGTTTATTCCCAGCCTTCTTTTCTTTAGAGTCGTCTTTTTAATTTTCAAGAGCCTTGTCGTTATTTGTTTGTAGATACAATATGATCGTATCGATTTTTTGTTCGTTTGTTTAAAAGCCTCCCCGAAAGAGTCGATTGAATTATTTGTATGTGTTTAGATGGTTCTGGTGTCTATAATTATTATCATTGAGCTTCACAGAATGATATCCGAGTGGGCATAGAGAGACAGCTTCTCAATCCGATTCCTGATTGAGTTCGATAATCCATCACATGTATCAATGTTGTAACACCCCCTGACCATGTGGGATGCAGGGGAATCGGATTGGAGGAGGAGGTCGACGTATGGGCTGTTCTTGATGATCAAGTCTTTCAGTCGGTCGGAATATTGCTGTTGGATGGTGTCGTCCTACAAATTCAATTTCCAAGTTATGTAAGATCTCACTCGCTTTGATTTTCAAAGCTTTCTTGGATACAGTCGACCTGGAAAATACATACTTTTTACAAGTCTCACTTCAGGAAAGAAAGATCAAAAAGTACACATATTTAGCGGTTTGATTCCAATGACACGATGTATGTTTATTGTAGCTATGTAAATATACGTCAACTTTTATATATTATTATATTGTTCGGCCTCACACAAGATTTGGGTGTCGGTTTTCAATACATAGGTTCCTTCCTTCCTTTCTTGAGAGGAAACAAAAACAAACCAGGCGCCAGACAGATAACATTAAAATCAAGAAGCCACAAGATTTTTTTCCACAGTTTCTCTGCAAGATTTCCTATGATAATGTATGTAGACCCACAGGAATTTCAAGTATTTTTGTGTTTGGAAGATCGAAAGGCTCGTCGATAGTCGACTCTATAATGAAGAGACGAACACCCAAGAACGCAAGAATCAATCAATCAATCAATGAATTGATTTTGGTCATGACCTTGCGGTTCAAGAAAACCCGAAATTGTAGACAGATGATAGTTAATCTAATCGAAAGTATGTATATGTAGATCCAAGAGCATACCAAAACAAGAGAGAGAGAGAGAAAGTATTCAAGGAAAGGATTGCTTAATGAGATCGTGTCGAATTCTATCTAATCTATCCGTATGACTGTGATATTCTATTATTCAAGAAAGTGATGATGCCCAAAAGATCGAGATTGGAGTCAAGAAAAGGGACCTCAGAACGAAGACCGGCGCCCGAAAAATGTGGCCATCGATCCCGCCAGCCGGCATTGCCAGAAAAGAAGCCGAAAGCCCGAGAGAGAGAGAGAGAACGCGAGATCGCCCAAGATGAAAGCCCAAAAGCAAGAGAGAGAGAGAGGAGGAAGAGGAAGAGTGAGTGAAAGATGGTGACAAGAGAAAGAGCGAAGGCTTCGTTCGGAGATGCGAAGTAGCGGAGGGGATCGATAAATTAAACGGAGGAGCGAGGGGATGATCAAGTGGTATTAGCGATCACGAGCTTCTCGGCCGAGACGGTGGGGATGACCGAGGGCGTGTTGTTGTTGACGGTGGCCAGGAAACAGTTGTAGCCCAGCGAGACGAGGTTCAGGAACGGCGGGCGTCCGTACACGGGCACTAGACTGTTCTCGAGTTTTTGTGGCGAAAAATGGGCGGCGTCGGTGTGTGTGTGTGTGTTAGAAGGGCCGTACTTGATTCTAGCGTGATAGGTTTGACGGTCTACTGACCTCATGTTGATGATCTGTGCGGGCCCAAAGATCCCGATGTTCGTCCATACGACCGTACTATAATTCTTTTTTTTTCATGAAAACCAAATGTTTTTTTTGTTTTTTGGCGATTTTTCGATCAATTTTCTGTTTGCTTTTTGGTGGGTGTGTGCCTGTTGGAAGGGAGGACTACAGGAAGTACTGACTCGCTCGATCCTGGCCTTGATCTCGTGCCAGGTTCTGCCCTCCAGGAAGCCCATGCAGGTGAAGAAGTAACAGGTCGCGAAGGAGGTGAAGAGGGCCATGTCGATTCCTACCCTACATAGTACCGCTGATCCAACCATAGATCTCATCAGTTTTTTTTTTTTTTTGGTTCGGGTGAAAAAAACTTGAAGGAATTAGCTGGGAGTACTTACTCTTGAGTTTTGATGTTGGATAAGTGATCCGGTTGAGTGTCTTATTCCTAATTATATCATATATAAACAGAAAATTCAGTTATCTTTTTTTGTTTGTTTGTAGGATTGAGGGGATCGGACTGACCACTTATAAGCTAGCAACAAACAATTAACACATTCAGTCAGTGTTTGCCAATCTAGAGGTAATTCTTTCTTTCTTTCTTTACTTACCGATGGGTGCCCAGGCCAGAGTTCCGTAAGTGATTGAACGCAAGGTGCGGGAGTACTATTTGGATGTATGATTGGTCAGTGTAAATAAATATGTATTTGCTAGTTGGTGGATGGATGGATGCTTACGTTATGGTCCTTCCATGGTTTTTGGTCGATGAGATGTTGTGAGATCGCATCTCCGATTGGAAAGATGACAGCTGTTTATTTAGATATTCAAGAGCTTAGTTAGTTAGTTAGTTTATTCTGGAATGGGTTAAGTTAGTCTGTTTTACCAGCAGTGGCCATCTGAGTTGGCAGGGTGTATGTCTGCAGTAGTCTCAGATAGCCTCTTCCTAAGCGTCCCATCATCCTGCAGCAGTGGTTAGTTAAGTTTTGCTGGTTGGTGGCCTGAAAGCAGTCAGTTGATGAAGGTGCTGTGCTTTGTAGTGTTTTTTTTAGTGGTTTATGGGTTTAGGAGTGTATGCATTTAACTTCTTCCTCCCTCCTTCCTTCTCTTCCTTCCTGCTTCCTCTTGACCCTTCTTCTACTTCTTCTACTTCTTCTTCTTCTTCTTCCCGTCTTCCTCGTTCCTTTTTTTTTCCCTTCCTATACTTCCGTCTTCCCTCTTTCTCTCCAACCAAAACTCATGGAACCAACAACATGGTCACACTCACACTCTCACCAAAGAACGGCAACCACACCAGATACTTCCCACACTCAGGTTATCTAGGTCTCTCACCCGTCATCGTCACCGGTTACGTCCAAACCAGATTAGAGGAAGATAACCTACCACTAGAAGCATCAAGACTCGTCGTCAGAATCAGATGCTACGAAGCAGTCGGATCAACACTCTCAAAGGGCACCAGACCAGAAGAACAGCAACATCATCAACAACAACAACAACAACAACAGCCATCCTACAACAAACTATCCAACATCAACGTACTCTGGCAAACCGAACAGACACTCTGGGCGGCCACTAACCAACTAGAGTATCAATCACTAGGAGATTGGAACGGATCCTGGAAGCTCATCATACCCACCAATGCAGTCGACCCTACTCAATCCAACTCATCATCATCATCACAACAACAGACAACCAACTCATCATCATCATCATCATCATCATCATCATCTGCCGTCGGTTCGATTACCTACAAGACTTGGAGATCATGGTGGCAAGTCGAAACTGGTAAGAAGAATCCTTAACTTTTTCTCTCTGAGGAATAAGATTACTCATATGTCTACCTCATCAAACAGTCGTCTATCACAAACCGGCTGGAATCCTAGGATCAAAACTAATGAAATCTCATGGACTCTATCTGATCAACTATCGAGAGGCCGAGAAGTATTGCAACAGTCCAGAGGAAGCCACAACGACGATCCAGAGTAGCACGACGAGTAATACGAGGATCAGATACTCTATCACCTCACCCACCTCAGCATGCTGTGGAGACGAGATCCAACTCAAGATCCAGATCGGAACTCATAAACCACATCATCAACAACAGCAGCATCATCATCACCATCATCACCATCATCATCCATCATCATCCTCCTTCTCCTCCTCATCCTCACCAGTAACCGCAACAGCATTCGAATCGAACAACCAAGAAGCAGAGGAACTGATCCTCAAACGACTCCAGGTCTCACTCATCAGACGATTGGCCATCGAGCTCTTCAAGTCATCTCCCCCCTCCACCTCAGCATCCCAACAACCCCTCCAGATCGACCACCACCACAAACCATGGCGACTAGGAAGACATCTCGCCAACCCCAACCTCCGTCCGATCAACCCATTCTCATCCTCTTCTTCTTCTTCTTCCTCCTCATTGATCACCCCTAATAGCAACAGCAGTAATAGTAATAGTAATCTCATAGTTCCTACTAGTAATCTGAATAGCAAGAGACAGTTCACTACCGTTAATACTCTCATCACTAACACCGAAGGCATCTCCAAATCTATCGTCCTCAACCATCACCTCGATCAACACCACCACCACCAGCAGCAGCAGCTTCTAGTCGACCCGCAACAACAACCACTCGTTCGATATGATTATGGCTTCCTCGTCAAATTGAAAATCCCGCTCGTCAAATCTAAGTCTCATTACTCCATCGGTGAAACTTGTAAGACTAATTTGGCGACAGTTAATTTCTCATTTCAATTCAAAGTTCAGTAACTTCCTTTACCTCAAATGGTTTCAAATAATATAAGCAGGAAAGGAAGCTGATGACGGTCATGACATTTTTTTTTTTTTTAGTTAACGATCAAGAACAAATTGACCAATAGATTAGAGACGATCGATTTATCGGAGCTCAATTTAGATGTCTATTCGATCTCACGAGCCGAGATCCAGAGTGCATTAACTCAACTCAAGAAACTCAGTAGTGGTCACAGTCTCAGTGTCCATCCATCGATCATCACCAATCACATCAACGGTCCGATTGGGAATGCAGCCGGAGGAAGTGGGCTCCCTTCTCGGGATTCGGCCCCCCGTGTCTTCTCTCCCCCCGCGCTCTCTCCTCTGCTCTCTCCGCTTCATCATCATCAGCAGCAGCAGCAACAGTTACAGTTACATCAGCAACAACACCTCCATCAGCATCAGCAACAACAACAACAGCAGCAGCAAAATCAGCATCATCAGCAACAACAGCAACATCAGCATCAGCAACAACAACAGTATGGCAAACATATTCCTGCTCCTATCGCTTCTTCTTCTTCTTCTTCCTCTGCTTCTACTTCAAAGCCGAACTCACCGTCACCCGATCACACTCCCTCCCACCAAATCCCGCCCTTCTCGTTCCCTATCGAATCGCTCTCTCCTCATGAACATATGCATCATCATCATCATCATCATCAACAACAACAACAACAACAAAAACAACAACAACAACCTGTTCATCATTAAGACTGTTAATTGTTAACACTGGTCATCGTTAACACTGTTACTCTTCACTTCGTTTTTTTTTCCCCTGATTTTCTTTGCTTGAGCGTTCACTCGATTATTTTCTTGCTTCTTTCCTTTCTTTCAGAAAACCCTTGCGTACTTACTTCCTTACTTCCCTACCTACTTGATTCCTTTTTTTTTCCTTTCCCCCCTCTGTCGTTCTTTCTTTTCTCTTTTTTTGTTTTCCTGTGTCCTAGTTTTTTTTTTTTTTTTCTTTTTCCGACCTTAATATGTGTTTTGGCAAGTCCTGTTTGGTTGGTTGGCGGGTTTTTCTTCTTCTTCTTCTTCTTTCTACGCTTTTGGTCTTCTTTCACTTTGCTCCTTTTTTTTGTGGTGGTTTGAATTTGAGGGTTATAAGTAGTTATGTCGGGTACATAGAGATACAAACAACTACTGTCTTTTTTTTTCCTCCCTTCCTCCCTTTTTTTCTTTCTTTCTTACCTGTTTTTTTGTTTTCCTATTAGAATCATTTCAGGTGCTATTTGCAATTGATTGATTGATATCTTTTTTTTTTTTTTTTTTTTTTTTTTTTGAGAAGTCTTGTATGTAGCCTATACAGAGAAGTAAACAAACCAAAACCCCCCCAGAAAAAATCTGTTGCTTTTGGGCTATGGATGATCGAAACCTGAGAGTAGAGATGAGTATAGGAATAGAGTGACTGAGACGGGAGACTTGGACGGTGGATGGAGTCTGAAAGCCGACCTAATTGACGATCAATCCATGTAAATCTGTGTAATATGTATGCTAGTTCAGGCCCAAGATTTGGTTATGTAGAAAAAAAAAATGATGAGATTGAAGATCATATAAGGTTATCCTAGACTGATGGGACTGCTGCAAGCCGCTTTCCGCCAACATTATCTCTAGCTTATCAAAGCCCCTTGAACTCAGGGGACCCCCCCCGTGTGGAGCGCTCTCTGTAGGAGAGGCTTAGAGCATCCACCCTTGTCTCTGTAACCCCGCTCGGTAAGTGGGATTTACAGAGAATTTAAGCATATTCATACCCCCGTCCCCTCTTTAGGTCTCTGTAACAAATTAATCTCCAAGATTCTTGCTAAGGGTTCATAAAGTTACGAACCCCTACAGAGCCTCATTAGCCAACACTTATTGAGGCCGAATTGAAAAATTACAAGTCCTCATTACCCTAAACCCCTCACATCCATCCCCATATACACACCCCATCACAATCACATCAGTTGCCCAGCCCACAAAACATCTCCCTTCTACCAGAAAGAAAAGTAATCATCCATGGCCAAAGGCGAAATTGAAATTGTTCCAACCAACAACAAAACTACCAAGAAGAAACGAGCGCCCAACTGGCTTCCACTTGAAGAAGAACAGCTTGCAATCTCATGGGTTCATGTCAGTGAGCAGCCCGAGTTTTCCAACAACCAGACTGGAACGATGTTTTACAAGAAGATAGAGGAAAACTTCAATCTCTTCAGTAAGATTCTTGGAGCCATGAACAGATCAAGATCAGGTATGAACCATTTATTTTCTCAATTCCGAAGTCCAATTGCTGATTCCTTTCCTTTAGGTGGACCTCTTTAAATACTGCAACTCTCAAATTTGCTGCTATTTACAACGCGATCGAGCGAAACCCTCCAAGCGGTTCCTCTCCTGAAGACTGGATGGCAACTGCGATGACCGTCTACGCTGGTCAGACCAAAGGTATTGCATTTGGCTCCGTTGCAGCCTGGCAGAAAGTCCAATACTGTCCTAAATGGTAAGGCGATCAACCCAATCTAACAGTCCCAATCCCAATCCCCTCTGATAACATTGACACAGAAGAAAATCCTGGCAGCAAAGCACCAGCCACACCCACCGGCATCTGTACCCCAAGCTTGCGCGATGGGTCATTGATATCACTCCCAATTGGTGGGAAGGCCGCAAAGAAGCGTCGGATTGAGGGTTACAAAGATGATGAGATGCTAGCGTCTGGGGTGTAAGAACTCCTTTGGGAATGGTGGCAGTCCTGCGAGGGGGAAATAGCAGATGAGATATATCACATATGTAATGATCTACTACAACTGTTATGGCTGGTTTGAAAGACCTGCCCCTCTATTGTACTACACAAGAGTTAACACAACAATTTATTTTATTGTTGTGGCAAAACTGATGATAGAGAAAACCATGTGTAGCAGTCTCTTATCAAACCTAGATCAACGTGGATTCAGCAGACTATTTGAGTGGAAATGTTGAGTAAGAGGTGTTTTTTCTGTTTATATGTTTATGTATTTTGAAAAATGATTGACGTATGTACTGATGATAAATGTTTATTTATGAGATGATATTGTGGAAAATGTGACTATTGAAAGTGTCTTTCCCTTCCTTCTTGAATCTTAGTCAAGAGCACAATGGTTTAAGATCACTGTCTCTTGTTTAAGATCACAAGTTGTACTGGTTGCTACTTTCTTTTTCCTATGCTTCTCAATGGCTGAATGATCTCAATGGGGCACTTGATTAAGATCACACTGGTTAATGTATAGATTGATTGCTCTGTTCTGTCTGGTTGATGATCAGATGAGATGATGATCTGTTGTGATGAGATGATGAGATGATGAGATGATCAGATGATGAGATGATTGGAATGAGGGGGGAAAGCCCCTCCTTAAATAGTCTATTTTACAACCCGGCTGACTTGTGGTTCTAGCCCTAAACTATAATCTATAAATGGCCAACTTGTGGTTCTAGCCCTAACCTATAAACTATAATTTATAAATGGCCAGCTTGTGGTTCTAACCCTAACCTATAACAAATATGCATAAAATCCGGCCAAATTGTGGTTTTGCTATCTATACAAGATTCTCTCTGTACCTACAAACAATGTGGCCAACTTGTGGTTACCCTATGCAATGAATATTGAATATGTAAACAAACTAAGGCCAACTTGTGGTTTGCATTATGCAATAAGCATTTTGTATGCAACTAAACTTAAATCCCAAATAACTTTTGACTGAGTGGAGCTAGCCTAGTGGTTCCAGTGAGAGACTATGGGTTAAATGACCCGTAGAATATGATTATGCCATAATACGCCTAAGAATATATGCCCTTCTACATATTGAACTGTGACTTTATGCAATTTGATACTTGAAACACAATTGGCATACTACATCCTCCCCCAACTTAATGCTGTCTGCAGCATTCCTGTTTCAAGTATCAAATTTTCCAGACTCCAGCAGTAGTACCCCAATTTTGAACATATGCACCACCATTACCCATTTAATAGACAAGCTCCACCCCCTCTTATGCCGTATAATTGAACCTTGCAACCCTTCCATGACCAGTCTTTACCAAGCGTCTTACACACCAATTCCTAAATATCACTGATCCCATCAGATGTACCCAAAAGAAAACATTTCCCTTGATATCCTATCTGGTCCTAAAAAATCCTTCTTGATCCATTGTCTGTCTGATTTGAATTGTAGTTCTGCTCTGAGTTTTCACTAAACTGGTTTTCATATATCCAACTGATTTCTTCTCAAGTAATTCATCCAACAGTAGTATCATCTATCCCCTTTAGAACTCCTCGTCCTCCCCCACGCCTTCCACGTCCAAATCAAAGGCACCTAATGAATCTATTTCAATCTCTTTCATCTCATTGGGTCCAAGGAAAAGGCCAGTGGTTGATGTATTTGAAAGAGGCCCCTCAAAAAATCTCCATATGCTGAGTTCCATGGTTGTCCAAAACACCTTCAAAACACCTTTCCCCCAGCGGAATACTCCTAAGCCTCCTTCAAATAATCCCCAGTTTACCAAAAAAAGTTTTAGGCATACTACTGTTTGAATCATTACCCAAAAAAACCCATGTCTTCAATCTCCACCTGGTTAGTGCTTTCTCTTCTGTCCCCTATCCTTCAAATCCATGGTTCATGTGATCCGGTAGTTCAAATTATTCAGGAATATTTGGTGGTAATTCTATTTCTTGTAAATCCTGTCCTTTCTTGCCCCAAATTTCATTCACATTGATTCTTCTCTTGAAATCACCAAAGGTTCCACTGTTAGATTGTACAGCATTTTTGTGAATCCAGTTGGTTTTCTCCACATCAATTTCAGATTAAGGTCATGATGGACCCCGGTTTCCAGTTATTTCCGCCTTTTTACAATACTTCCAGTTTTGGGTCATGAGGGAACATTGTCTTTTCCATTTCCGACCATTTCTAGATTTCAGTTTAAGGTCATGAGGGACCCCAGGTTGATTGATTTTTCAGTTTAAGGTCCTGAAGGACCCCCTTCAGATCGGTTGATTTTTCATTTTAAGGTCATGAAGGACCCCGGTATCCAGTTACTTCTGCTTTTTTTCATATTTTCAGTTTAAGGTCATGAGAGACCACCTTGAGATTGTTTGATTTTTCAGTTTAAGGTCATGAAGGACCCCAGGTTGGTGGATATTTCAGTTTAAGGTCATGAAGGACCCCAGATTGGTTGATTTTTCAGTTTAAGGTCCTGAAGGACCCCAGATTGGTTGATTTTTCAGTTTAAGGTCATGAAGGACCCCAGATTGGTTGATTTTTCAGTTTAAGGTCATGAAGGACCCCGGTATCCAGTTACTTCTGCTTTTTTCATATTTTCAGTTTAAGGTCATGAGAGACCACCTTGAGATTGTTTGATTTTTCAGTTTAAGGTCATGAAGGACCCCAGGTTGGTGGATATTTCAGTTTAAGGTCATGAGAGACCACCTTGAGATTGTTTGATTTTTCAGTTTAAGGTCATGAAGGACCCCAGGTTGGTGGATATTTCAGTTTAAGGTCATGAAGGACCCCAGATTGGTTGATTTTTCAGTTTAAGGTCCTGAAGGACCCCAGATTGGTTGATTTTTCAGTTTAAGGTCATGAAGGACCCCAGATTGGTTGATTTGATATGAGCAAACTGCAAACAGAAAATAGAGATAAGAAAACAAAGATCTCCAATCAAAGACTGTTAAGCAGTCTCATCACCTTGGAGCAGCCAGTTATAGATTTTGAGGTCTTCTTTTAAGAGAGCATGCATGAATGAATTATGTAGATTCTGGTTCAACTGGATATAATTTGCAAAAGTATGAGCTAAGCCGGGATCAGTGTGGTTGGGAATAATGACAGCAGAAGATGTGATGTCTGTTAAGAAGAGGTCGTCTGGAGATCGATCCTCCACAATCATATTATGGAGTATAATACAACAACAGGTCATGATGCGCATGACAACCTCCTTCTCCCATAAACGACAACCAACAGTCAGTACATGCCATCGCGCTTGAAGTACTCCGAACGTTCACTCGATATCCTTCCAAGCGGATTCTTGAAGCTTGGCGAAGTGTTTTGCAGCCCCCCCCCCCTGGGGATCCCTTATCGAACAGACCAGAGTCAACCATGGAGGATAGATGCTATCACATATATAGTAGCGGTTCGTGTAACGGTGCCCGTTGATAGTGAAGTCGACAGTGTCCTCGGCACCAGATAGTAAACAATCAAACAAGTGACTTCGATGGAGGATATTGATGACGTTCAACACGCCGGGGCTCCCAAAAAACGCATGCCAAATGTGAAGATTCTTGCTAGCTACCGCTTCCAAGACAATGGTGGGCTTTTTCTCCTTGCCTTTGTATTGGCCGGCCCATCCCGATGGGCAGTTCTTCCATGCCCAGTGCATGCCGTCGATGCTGCCGATACAACCTGGGAAACCGCGCTCTTTGTTTTCCTTCAGGATTGTCTCAAGCTCCTCGCGATTGGGTGGTCGGAGGTATTCTGAACTGTAGATTTCAATAACATGAGTCACAAAATGCTTCAGTGTTCGCAGAGCGGTTGTTTCGCCAAGTCGAATATACTCGTCAGTTGAATCAGCACTTGTGCCGTATGCAAGCTGGCGGATGGCGGACGTTATCTTTTGTTGGGGGGATAGACCAATTGTTCCACAGCAATCCTGTAATGATACTTGTTAGAACCAACCACAATAAAAAAAAACCTGCAAACAGAACTTACACTCTTGAGAATCCAAAAGCGATCATGTTCTTGTAGATCATGACAGAGCCAATCAAATATCCCTCGACTCATTCAGAACCGTCGTTCAAACATCCGGTTGTTGTAGACTGGATTCTCATCAAAGTAGTCGGCCATGAGTCTCTTGTGACCTGCAATCCAATCTCGGTGGATAACCATTCTGGGCCCTTCCAGAGCTCTTCTTTTGGGGGGCCTGGAGACTGAGTTGAGGAGGTGATAGAAAATCTCCTCTTCCATGAAGCCGACGAGGTAGTCGTCCACGCTGTAGGGCATTCTAGCACGGTGTTGATAGTGATCGCCGGAGTTCTGAGATGGCGAGTCCAACTTACAGAGGCACACGGGGGTGCCGGCAACAGCTGGCAACCCTGAGTATCTCCCGCTGTAAGACTCAAAAGTGGTTATGAAACCCTTTTGCTGAATGGAGAAGGGTATGTTGGAGTTGCAAGCTCTGCCCTTCTATACTATCAGAATAACAAGACCACCAAGCTTAGCTTGGCAATTTTATATATAGTGATAGGGATAAGTTCAAGATGAAGCTGCCAATTGGTATGTGTGAGGGTATAAAGCTGTTATTGACTGTTGGTTATATTGATGAAGTTGTTGTTGATGGATATGGTTCAGGGCACTTTTGGTTTATGATGATGATGAAAGTGTTAAATCTGTATTTCAATGTATATAATTCTGAAATTGTAATGTGGCTATGACTTGTAGTTATGAAATAATATATAAGATGGATTTATTTATAAGGGTCATTGAGATGATCTGGTCCACTGGTGGGATGATGGTCCCCTGGTGGGATGATGGTCCCCTGGTGGGATGATGGAGGGAACAACTGGCAGGCAGAGGCCTCCTTATATAGACAAATGTGAGGGATTTTGGCCCCAGGGTACAGGCTGAAAGATACTACTACAAAGGGATGCATACAAATGCATAAAGGGACACATATATATGATCAAAGGGATGCATACATGCAATATCACTAATACAAAGGGATTCAAAATAACATAAAGGTATTCAATTTCCTACAAAGGAATTCAGTATGCAATATGCATCCTGTATTCATAAAGACTATGGCTAGAGTGAAGAATTCATGAAATATCCCTTGACAGGTTGAAATACGTGTAACTTCTAAACTATAAGGGATAAGGGTATGGTTGTAGTGGGTGACTAGGGTTTATTTTACCTGAGGATTCCATTTTTGATGTCATTTTTACCATATCTTGAATTAACAAAGAGATAATAAGAAATTTTTATATTTTCTGCGTAGAAACACAGTATTATTTACCACACCGCGGCTTTGCCTAACCAGCCGGTACCAACCAACGAGGGGGGTTCACCCTGTAGATTAGTAACAGAGCCTTGCGGGGCTCCTTGCTTAGCTAGGGATTTAGTTGAACGGGGGTGGATGCTCTTATGAATTATGTTAGAAAGCTTGCAGAGACAGGAGGGATTTTCAGTCCGAAAACTACGTGTAAAATTACATTTTTTTATGGGGGTAATGTATAACTTTACAACCCATCTGTGATTTTCAAAGGCTGTAAAAAAAATGGCTTGTAAAATATGTTTGCTAAAATTCCATCACAACATTGGATTGTGTAATTCTACAAACCATATCATGCAAGTCTTGCATGACAGGGTTGTAAGGTTGTATAACAACCCTTAAATTTAGAATTTCACAAGACATATGCTTGCAAACCTTAATGTCTTGTGAAACTGTGTATGTAAAAAAGCTTATTGACACCCTGTGAAAGAATTTTACAACACATAGTGTACAATCTATCATTCAACTTTCAATACATATCCATTAAGCTTCATATAAGCTTCATACAAACTTTTGACAAACACAGCTTATCATGGGAAATATACCAGGCCTTGTCCCCACCTCCCACCCTTTTTCAAACATCACCAACAACTCAACATGACCGGTCATTGATGAAGGACACAATCCCATCAAGGACCAGTTTTAACCAGTCCTTGATGGGAGTAAAGACCCCCAAACACCCCCATCAATGAGCAGTCAAAACCGGTCATTGATGGAGGAAACACTCCCATCAAGGACTGGTTTTGACTGGTCCTTGATGGGAGTAAACACCCCCATTGATGACCGGTCAAAACCGGTCATCAATGAAGGACACAATCCCATCAAGGACCGGTTTTAACCAGTCCTTGATGGGAGTAAAGACCCCCATCAATGACCAAAACCGCTCATTGATGGAGGACACACTCCCATCAAGGAACGGTTTTGACCGGTCCTTGACCATTGATGACTGGTCAAAAGTGGTCATTGATGGAAGTGTGTCCTCCCATTGATGACCAGTCATCAATGATTTGATGGAGGTGTGAACCTCCATTTACCTCCATCAAGAAAGCGCGGTAAAAACCTGTCCTTGATGGAAGTGTGTCCTCCATGATGACGTGTGATGTCATCATGGCGTGTGGGGAC